TATCAAATTATCAGATGGTGTATCCAAGATTATCAAAGCTTGTGGCTCATGGTTTTCAGCCACACTGGGAAAAGTCTCCTCTTCTGGGATCTCCATTTCTGTTGCAACATTTTGCTGATGTTCCTTAATTAATTTATCATACAGGTTTTTGTAATATTCTTTTTCGTGCTTTTCATTCAGTAGCTTTGCCTCAACATCAGCAATTTTATGTACAAAAGAAATCAACTTAGAAAATATGTTGTTTGCCTCTTCTAGTGAAAGTACATTTTTTGCATTCACATCATCCTTTTTGTCATTTGTAGCTAAAACTGCAGGTTTATCTGATTGGTTTTTCACTTGAACTGTCAACTTATGTGTATCTAAAGCTTTATGTGCACCTTTGGTGGTTTCATTTATGGAGGATCTTACATTTTCAGCTAAAGTTGTCCTTGGATCTTGTTTCTGCTTGAGGTTCTCCAGCTTTGTACGTAATTCAAAGAAATCCGCTTGTAATTGATCATATAGGTTTTTGTAATACTCTGATTCGCTCTTTTCATGCAGTAACTCTGCCTGAACATTAGGAATTTTATGTAGAAAAGAAATCAACTTAGAAAATATCTCGTCTGCTTCTTCTGCTGAAATTACAGTTTTAAAATTCACATCATCCTTTTTGTCATTTGTAGCTGAAACTGCAGATTTAGCTGATTGGTTATTCACCTGAACTGTCAACTGTTGTGTATATAAAGCTTTAGGTGCACTTTTTGTGGTTTTATTCACAGCACAGCTTTTAATGGTAGATGATCTTGAATTTTCAGGCAGAGTTGCCTCTCCAAATTTAATATTTAAAGGAATATTATCTGAATTTAACAGATTCTGTTCCTGCGTTCTGTTCTGTTTAAAATTTTGCAGTTGAATTTCAAATTCAGTTAAAGCTGAGCTTAGTTTATCAATCGCCCTCCCTAAATTGACACAGTCATTACTGCCAAATGAGCTCTCATCTTGATATTTAGATAATTTGCTTTCAAACTGTGTTTTGAAGTTATTACACCTCTTGTGCATCTTCAAAATTGCAGCTTCAATTTGAAGCAAATGGTCTAAGAAATATTCCATTTTAAACGTGACCTTAAAAACCGAATCTGAACGTTAATATGAACTAAATTCAAATTATCACAGCTGACTTTGAAATTAATCTGCTACAATATGGTTCAGATGGCTTAGCTTTTAAGCAAAGGTATCGCCTTGTAAAACTCCCTTTTGGCTACTTCTTTAAATAAATGTGTCTTATAATCACAAACTTTCTGAAGCAAAAAAATGCCTGAATCGTTTCTAATTCTTTCTAATGAATCCTTGAAGTTGTTGTTACCTGTACAAACTCTTACACAGAAGTGAAGGGCTTATATTTCCTATGCTGATGATGTCACAAAGAGTCACATTCTCACCCCGCCCATAGAATTCTTTTCCCCGCCCACAATTCCTTTTTCTATCCGCCCACGCCTTTTCATGGATATGCCTCAGAAAAGCCCTGCCATTTAAATCCCATATCAAAGAGGTTTCTAGAATTTTCTTCTTTCATCTCCAATTATTGCAATCATCAGGAAGTCCACAAACTGTAGTTAAAAGCCTTCAGCTGATCCAAATTGCTGCAGCCAGAGTTCTGATGAAAATTAAGAGAGATCATATATCTGTTATCCTAGCTTATCTTAATTGGCTTTCTGCTTTCTGTTTGATCCAGAATAGAATTAAAAATCCTCCTTAATTTAATTAATTTATTTATTTGACAGGGACATTGTACATTAAAAAGCATTCCTGCAAATGCACTAGAATTAGCCAAAAGGCTGTTTTCCATCTCTTGTCCCTGGACAGATCTTAAAATTATCTACCTAAAAAAAACAAAGCATTCTACAATGAAAAATACAAAAATAAAAAAATAAAAACAGCTATAACTCCTCAAAAATGATTTAAAAGTACAGAATAAGTGTTCCCTGGACTACAGAGGTTCATAAAATAGAAAAAAACATTGAAACTATGTATATATACATATATACACAGGGGTTGACGTTAAGGATTTTCGGGCAAGTGGCTTTCACATATCATTTGCCCAGAAACAATTTTTACTTGCCCAGTATAATGTTTAATAAATATAGTTCGGAATATTAGTTTTTGTATATATATCAATGAAACATGTTTGTTTTTTAAATGTTTTTTTGTAATTCAGTAAGTTTCCAGGTTCCTGGTGTGTATGTGCATGCGTCAGATAATGAACTCAAGCCTACATTACCGTGTTAACATGCTTTTCAATCCTTCCTGCACATTCTTTTCAAACTAAACTTTGCTTTAAACTGTTGTGTGCTTGGAAAAATATAAATTGTAATGTTAAAAATCTAAAAAAAAACTTGACAGGTTAAAAACTTACACTAATACTACTCACCAATTTAACATGTTTAGCTCTATAACATTTAAATGCACCACTCCAATGTCTAAGAGAAAATAATGTAATGAAATTTTTTTAATGCATGACCACTGTACAGAAGATTGCCATATGATAGAAATATTTACACTGTGCGCATACAATTATTATTATTATTTTCCTAATCCCTTACTGATCATTTTTAATCTAGCGTGTATTATAGTATAGATTAAATTCATCATCCAGCTGCTGCTCTGCAGAATTCTCTCCCCAAGAGCTGAATCACGCCATCTAGCGGAAAATCACGCAGCTTTTTCAAATCACGCGAGAATGTGTACATAACAACAAAAATGGAGCCAGCAATGCTTGTGGGTCGTTTTCAGCGAATGTCGGTAATTCTAAAGTAATTTTGAGTGATAAATAATTTTTTTGCAATCATTGCACTTGACCGGCGGGCAAATGCAATGAAATTTGTACTGTACAGTCATGCATTATCATGCTCATATATTTGTGAACATTCTCACATTTTTTCTCTGTAGGGGCTTCTGGTAATTAGTGGCTATTACCAGGCTAGGTTTTGGATCCTGAGAGCAAAGGCACCCAGGAGGGGCCAACCCAGGAAATCTGTCCCCCACCGAGGGATGAGGAGAGACCCGAGGAATTCCCCCAGCTGCCACAATGCCGAAGCCCCCAGGAACCGCGGGGATAAGCAGGCAGCCAGCCACCCCGCAGCGGAACCGGCCATGGGCCCCGGGACCTGAGGCCCCAGGGGCACCGTGCCCCCTGGTGGCAGCCCCGACCGGGCCCCGGGGGCCAGGCCCTGTGAAGCAGCTGCCAGGAACAAGCAAGCACCTGCCCGGGCATCTACCCCCAAACACTGAGCACCACCAATGCACTGGCGGGCCAAAGCGCCAGCCAGCGAGGGGAGAAGGCTCCCCTCGCTGGCTGGCGAAAAAGAGTAATGTAGTATTAACTGGCAAACAGATTCTTTTTATTTAAAAAAAAAATAGCGGAGACTTGAGAGAAGACTTAGCGTAGACTTGAGAGGGAGCTGTTCAGACCCAAACCTGACAAATAACAAAAAAACACATTAAAATACAGTCTCAATCACGCCGTCCCACCCTAGTGCTCCCAATTGAAACAGACAGACTCTTCAAAAAAAAAAAAAAAAAAAGCACGGATGCACATTCACACATAACATTCACATCCAATATTCCCAGGACCAAGGACCCGGCAGTGCTGGTGCCTGTTCCTGGGATTACCAGATGACCCACTAGGTGAATAATTTACCTCAACTTAACACAGCAATGAATTAATAACAACAAGAGTGAGCACAGATTTGGGAACTAGCCAATACACAGAAATATAACTGGATGTATTACTAATGTGCATCTAATGAAATATAGTCAATTAGGATTTATTCATAAAGTTTTTGAATAAATTTTAGCTGCTTATATTTACTTTGACTACATTTATTATATACATAAAGTAGAGGGGAGTGGCAGCCTAGAGGAGGGGAGTGGAGGCCTAGTGGTTAGGGCATTGTGATTGGTATCCTGAGGATGAACAAAATGAATGTCACAATTTATTCTGGCAGTTGATTTTTTTTCTGTCTGAATGTACATTTAAACTTTCAACACAACTCTATGTGTAATACCTCAACAACAAATAGGTTTCTAAAATGTGTCAAAGTCAAACTTGGCAATTGAAGCATTACTGAAAATGATAAACTTTCTGTCAACTCTCAGTTGAATACATGGTTTGGGAACAAGAAATGTTTTTGAACTATGAACTTTATGAACTTTTGTGGCCTGTCTGAGTTGTCAAGCGTGAATGTTTGCTAGACAACTGTGTATTCAGCAATCTTCCTTTTGACTGTGCAGGCCATAATATAACATTTTTGTTAAAGTAGAAAATAATTCCAGTTTTATTGGTTTGTTTTAATTTTCTAATAAACGGATCTGAGATCTTTATCAGTCAATCATCAAAAGTAACACAAATAATGTCTTGATGTCTCTCTGTTTGGTTACTTTTATAGTATATGTTTAACCTTCAAATTACATTTATGAAATAAATGCACTTCTAGTTATATTGGTTCTACTTTCTGGAGATGCAGCTTAAAGGATTTTAATCATTTGTAGCTCTGAATAAAAAAACAAACAGAAGAAGATAGTTATTTTATTCTTTAATTTTCTAGATGCAAGGTTGGTGCATTTTTTTTCTGTGTGTGTGGGAGTATGTGTGTTTTAAAAACCCTTCTATCTGGTTTTGGTAACTGTAAACAGCAGCGTTAAATAAACAGGAAGCTTCTGAAAGAAGGGCAGCAACAGATACACTATTAAAAGAATTCAAAGCAATTACTGGAGCAAACTGTTGAAGAAAATATTAACACATTTTTTACATTTACGTTACATTTTTAAAATAAAAAAGTGTCTCAGAGACTGCTTACATTTTTCTTTTGAAATATGATAAATACATTTTCTTACAGAGTTTCTATATTGAGACACTGATAGGACAGTTCCTGCTGTTAGGCAGTGACTTCTTTTAGCATGACTCACCTGAATAGATAAACATGAGAGGTAGAGAATTATTGTTTAGGGTGTGACCAGACCTGTTTGGGTACCATCATTTTCAGTCACCTTAGATAATGCTGGTTCCTTACAACTGAGTCTAAGCCTCAGTAGGTCTCAATAGGTGTTCAGCATGGCATCTTTTTCTTTCTTTTCCTGTTTATCATTTTAAGCTGGGTGAGTTCTGCTCATTCTTCAGATATTTTTCTACATCTGTTGCTGCCATGAATGTTTGAAATTAGTAGTTGCAGCTACTGCCTTGAGGTTTTCCTGTCTGAACGTACTTCCCTTTAAGAGGCAGGAACTTTATATTACAACTCATGCTCAGACAAAGGAAGTCTTTTTTTTCTGATCTGCTGGTGTGAATGTTATCCTTCACAGCCATGTCCTATGCTATGACTCAAGCTGAATTACTGATGTTTTGACAGTAAGTTTTGACTTTTTCTTGCATTGTGTAGCTTAAGTATGAAATATCATGAAGCTCAGTTTATTCTCTGCTCTGCATCATGCAGTACATTTATGATCAGTGTTTTTACGGAGTGTTTCTATTCAGCGCTAGTGTTTGAACTGTTAAACTATTAAACATAGGCAGCTGTTCACATTTGCATTCTTTATGTCACATGCCGTGCAGTGTTATGGAAGAACATTCCTATGCTGCAGCATGTTTAAACTTAAAATTGCATGTAGACTGCTTCACTGACTGTGCAAAGTAAAAACAGGATGGGACAGCATAGTCCCAGTGCTCTGTCGTGACTAATGTTCCCTGGAATAACTTGAATATGTCAACATAAAGTTAATGAGTGTGGGGTAACAGCGAAGTATTATGCAGTGGTGTTTGACTGCAGTGCATTAGAGCTTGTATCGTCTTGTTTAATTCTCAAATCTGATGCAAAATCCTTTGGATTGGACGGAAGTCAAATACAATTGAACTTTTGTTTCAGCTTCACGTTTGAAATCTTCTTAAAGGTGCTTTTTTGTCCCAACATGTTTTCGTATGGAAACAAACTCCTGACATAGTTAAATGTTTGACTAATGTGCAAACTGTGTCCTCGGACAAACATTTTGAAAGATACTTTAGCATTATGTAGCAAAGCACTTCACAAGGATTTAAATTTATTTTTTTCATGGCACACATCTGTTGCAGGGCTTTTTCTTTTTTTTTGTAAGTTTGTTTTTATAGTTTCTGCGCATCATATATAAAAAAAAAAAGGCTTTACCACATGTGCCAAATTATTTAGTTCTACCAAAATACAAAAAGTTGGAATCCTATTGACTTTATTAGATTAAGACTCTATCTGATATCAAAGTGACAAATTGACCATTTGTGATTTGGGATTGTGTAAATGTCACAGTAAATGGGTTTGTGCTGAATGGATAGGTTTCTCACTTAGGGCTGTACATTTGATAGGTTTATTAGAACAGAAAGCCTGCTAAAATAGTACCCCAGAACAAGCAAAGGTCAAGTGGAAAATGCTGCAGATGCTTCTGGCAGTCACAGCCCTGCATATATGTAGGTGATCATTGAACCAGAGCAGTAGATCCCAGGCTAAAGAGGCACAGGGTGAGAAGAAGGGCACTGACCCCATTCGACTAAGGCATGCTGCAATCTCCCACCTTGTTTGCCAAACTCTTGCAGTTTCTTGGCTCAGCAAGGAATGCTGTGAGAGGCTCCATGTGCTACATACGTACACTTAAAGGTTGTCCAAGAGAACTCCCCTGTACAAATAAAGCATATTCAGTGAAACTGCAGGACATTTTTGCTCAAATTTCCAGGGATAACAACAGCTCTGTAATTTTTGTTCCTCTGTTTTCTTTCCTTTTAGGTTGCGTTGATTTTAGAAGATTTCAGGATGTATTTCCAGCTGGCTTCCTTCGTTTATCTGTTCTATGTGATCCCTAAAATTACATATGCTGGCAAAGTTCTGGTGTTCCCACATGATGGCAGCCACTGGGTGAACATGAAGGTACTTGTGGAGGAGCTGCATTCAAGAGGACATCATGTGACCATCATCCGGGCTGGAGACAGCTGGTACATCAGTGAAACATCTCCACATTACAAGGCCATCACAGTGAATGTCGAGGCTGGGGGAAACGAGGATTTTTATCGTCTCTTTGTCTCTGAAGTTATAAGAATTAAAAGAAGCAATGGGTCTGCATGGACCCGTTTGGCTTTAGACATGGAGTTGAAAGACCGGTTCTTTGAATTACACAAAAAGGTATGCGAGATGCTCCTTCATATTTTTGAAAATAAAGAGTTGATGAAGACTCTTCAGGAAGCCAAATATGACGCAGTTTTAACCGATCCTGTAAATGGAGGAGGTGTGTTTCTGGCTCGCTACCTTGGCCTGCCGATGGTGTTCAATGCCCGCTGGACTGTTCATGGTGAGGCACATTTTGCTATTGCGCCTTCTCCTCTTTCCTATGTTCCTCTTCCACCATCAGAGCTTACAGATCAAATGACTTTCTTTGAAAGGGTGAAAAACATGATTTTCTACAACATGAGAATGCATCTGTACAAGCAGGTGACTGCACCACATTATTCTCCTTTGTCTAAGCGCTATTTTGGCCCAGATGTGAACTACTTCTCTCTATTCCAAGCTGCAGACCTGTGGCTCATGAGAGTGGACTTTGTGTTTGAGTTCCCTCGTCCGACCATGCCAAATGTTGTCTATATGGGAGGGTTCCAATGTAAACCTGCAAGACCTCTGCCTCAGCACTTGGAGGAGTTTGTGCAAAGTTCAGGGGAGGAAGGAGTCATCATCATGTCTCTGGGGACTTTAATTGGAGAGCTTCCCCATGACTTGGCAGATGAAATTGCTGCTGGCTTTGCAAATTTACCCCAAAAAGTTATCTGGAGGTATAAAGGTACCAAACCACCCTCTTTAGGGAATAATACAATAATGGTAGACTGGATGCCACAGAATGATCTCTTAGGGCATCCGAACACTAAACTTTTTGTAAGTCATGGAGGAACAAATGGAATATACGAGGCTATCTATCATGGGGTTCCAATCGTGGGCATTCCTTTTGTGTTCGATCAAGCTGACAATCTCTCAAGACTCAAAGCTAAGGGAGTCGCTAAGATTTTGGATGTGTCGGATTTAAATACAGAAATATTTAAGAAAACCGTGCAGGAAGTTCTGAATGAGCCATCTTACAAAATGAACATGCAGAGATTATCTGAACTACACAGAGATCAGCAGGTGAAGCCATTGGATCGAGCCATCTTTTGGATTGAGTTTGTCATGAGACACAAAGGTGCTCCGCACCTCAGAACAGAGTCCTACAGAATGCCCTGGTACTCCTACTACTCTGTAGATGTCATATTGTTTTTGATAGCAATTTCTCTACTTGTGTTGTTGGTTTTCTCTTGGTTGTTGAGGCACTGCTTCACGTTATGTTGTAAAAGAAAAGTGAAATCTGACTGAGTAGGGCACATATCACCAGGGGGGATTTAAAATGAGGCAAAACTAGGCAGTTGCCTAGGGGTACCAAGTTCCTGGGGGGGCATAAAACTCTGTTTACATGTAAGGTTAATACTAGTGTTGCACCGATACCGATACCAGTATCGGACGGGGCCCCGTTACTGCCCTAAAATGGTGGTATTGGTATCGGCGAGTACCAACAAATAGGGCTTCGATACCATTTTGAGAGCCATAAGTTTATTCAACTATTGTCACCCACTCCTGGTAGGCAAGAAAAAATTCTACTGGATTCACTTTGTATTAGATTTTTTCCTGCTTCACAAAGGTAGGCAGCAGCTTGACAAAGCCATAATGGCAATTATTTTACATTATTATGGTATCGGTATCGGCCGATACCACACAACCAGGTATCGGTATCGGGGCCAAAAAATGGCATCGGTGCAACACTAGTTAATACAACTATTCCTTATTTGTGAACATTAATTATGTTTTTGATAAAAAAATCCTTTCGCTAAAATGCCAGCAGAAGGCTTACAATATTTAGTGTGTGCCCCCCCCCACCTCAGAAAGGTCCAACCAAACACATAGCAGCAAACTATTTGAAAACAAACAGTGTTGCCAACTTAGGGCTTTTATTCACTATAATTAGTGACTTTTCAGACCCCTCTTGCACTTATATTTCAAAAAAGTGCCTAGTGCAAAATCTAGTAACTTTTTTCTGCTACTGGAGACTTTGGCAACAACATATAAAAGCGCAGAACTCTGCTCTCCAGAGCAAGTAGATACGTAACCCTGCCTCCTGCTCTCCTCTATTTTGTCTGCTGCAATGATTAATGCAGCTATTATTTAATCCTAATGGAAAATGGAGAACATATCAGGAGATCATGTCTTGTCTACAGTGAAAAGAAGGACTGTGTTATTTACTTTTGCAGTCACCTTTTTGGAAAAACAGGAAGGAGCAATCAGCTAAGTGAGCTTAGTGCTTGAAAAAAATTCTTTTGTTCCTTTTGAGACAGCATGAAAAGTCAGCTGAATACAAAAATTAGAGAGGAAAACAACAAGAAAAGGGACAAGAAGAGAGGGACAAAACGCAGAACATGTGAGAAGACAACATTATGTGTTGTCGTCTCAATTCAGAGGGCCTCCTGCCTGTCTTTGTCTAGGGCCCCAAATTTCCTAAATCCATCTCTGCCAATTAGGCATAACATTTTGTCAAATGACTGGTTCTATACCCTCTCGTTCTTTTTAAAATGTGACTTAAAAGAACCAAGCATTTTCCAAGATAAGCCTGTATTAAGTGTCATCGCCTGAGGTCAGTTTTCTTTATGAAAAACCTCTTTACATGAAATGGCAACGTTGATTGGGTGGTTAAGCCTAGGATCAGTTGTAGCATGTATGAATGTGAAGTTGACTTGTATGCTCAGTTATATTATCTGGCTCCATCTGTTACAAATGATCAAATTAAAGAACTACATTGAACTGATGTCAAGACTGTGGCCAGCTAAGGCTCAAAGATGCATGTGCAAATATATACGTGGGTATAGGGGATGAGTTACTGCTGTAGTATAAGGTTTGAACTTCTACATGGAGCTATTGTTATCAAAAGTTACCTTACCTGTAGTACAGACAGATTTCAACTCACTCAGAGTTTTAAGAAAAAATAAACAAAAAATTATGGCAATGGAAAAAAATTCCCTTGTTTTGGCTGATTTCCAACTGTACATGTAAATATATGTGGAATACAAATATGTGGAGTCGCTAAGATTTTTGATGTGTCGGATTTAAATACAGAAATATTTAAGAAAACCGTGCAGGAAGTTCTGAATGAGCCATCTTACAAAATGAACATGCAGAGATTATCTGAACTACACAGAGATCAGCAGGTGAAGCCATTGGATCGAGTCATCTGTTGGATCGAGCGCCTTTGTGTCATGAGACACAAAGGTGCTCCGCACCTCAGAACAGATTCCTACAGAATGACCTGGTACTCCTACTACTCTGAAGATGTCATATTGTTTTACACAGAGTTTTGAGAAAAAAAAAAATAAAAAATTATGGCAATGGAAAAAAAATGTCCCTTGTTTTGGCTGATTTCCAACTGTAAATGTCAATATATTTAGAATACAACTGTATATTAGAGATAATAAATGTATGAACCTTAACAAGAAACAGTTGTTTATTTTGTTTTTCATTTCTTAGTTTAACAATTTTTGTGTGCTATAAGATGTCCTAACTTATCTACCACCCCACTGTAAAATTACATCTCTCTATTACATTTGTGGAAACAACTGATTATTACTCAAAGGATCTCACATTTGGAACTAGTGTTTTCATATAGAGAGGTGTCAGAATCCACATGGCATCAAAGTTTGCTGCCTCAGACATTCATAAAGAAGCAGTACTCTCTAATGGCTTTGGTTTCTTCCAGAAGCCTACCGCATCCTGTTAAAAACTGAAAGTGGTTCAGAAAGGGCATGAGGAGCGCAACAATTAGTTAGTGGTATTATCCTGGTCTGTAAATTCCCATGATCCCTGTTCAATAATTGTGAATGTGCTGGACAGACAAATCCAAACATGGTGGCCCTACCACAAAATTTAGAGGACTGAAATGATCTACTGGTAAAATTTTAGTGAACGACATCAGGGCACACCTTCAGGGGTTCAAAGTATTAGGCAGTTGGCCATGATAGTATGTCTGATTATTGTATGTATCTGCTTATTCTTGTCTTATCTTATGTTTTACTGCAATGTGTTGACCAACATACATTTGTGTTTATTAGCTTGGCTATCTGGTGCAATAAAATTACACTGCAGGACAAAGTCTGTCTTTAATATGAATGAATGCTCATTTTTATTTGACCATGAAATTCAAATGTGAAATTATCAGTAAAGGTTACATTAACTGCAGGGTCATGGTTCAAGGTAGCTAATATGCCAGTAGGTGGTGCTCTTTACCAACCCATCTGTTTCTGATACTGGTAGTAGTTGTATTCAAATCAAATTTCGATTTGGCAACATGCATTTTTTTTTTACCTACTTTGAAAAAAAATTGTTGGTATCAGACATTTCTTTTTTACCATGCTTCAACGGAATGGTTTTAAGATTAAAATCATGAAACAGCCCTGGCAAAAATGATGAAACCCTTAACTTAATATTATATTGAACAAACTTTTGGGGTAATAACTGCAATCAAATGCTCTTTGCAAAGATGCTCAATAGGCTTTAGGTCAGGGCTCATAGAAGGCCACCTTGTATTAGTTCAATGTTTTCCTCTTAGACATTCATGGATGTTTTTAGCTGTGTGTTTAGAGTCATTATCCTGCTGACCTGAGACTGGGCAGCACATTTCTCTCTGGAATCCACTGATAGTCTGGAGATTTCAATGACCACTGCAGAGATTGAAGACACCCTTTACCAGATGAAGCAAAGCAACCACAGAACATAACAGAACCTTGTTCATGTTTCACAGCAGGGGCTCTATTCTTTTCTTGATATGCTTCATTTTTTCAGCTGTGAACGTAGAGCTTTTTGTCTTGGCAAAAAGTTCCTTTTGTATCTCATCTGTCCATAGGATATTCTACCAGAAGCATTGTGGCTTATCAACATGTAGTTTGGCAAATTCTTTGGTAGTCTTCAATTTTGTCCACGTTTGCTCAAACAACGACGGATGGTGAGATCTGACAGTAATGTTCCTTTAGCTTGAAGTTCACCTTTAATCTCTTTATTACCATTCACGTTATCTGTCTCTTTGATTTATGTTCATATGTCCTCCTGCTCCCACGACCAGGCTGGTTGGTTGCAGACCTTTAGACCTTATATTTCTAAATAATATGTGCAACAGGTCACAGGAACATCAAGCTGCTTGGAGATGCAGTTTGATCTTTATCATGCTAGTCCATATCTTATTTCTAATCTCCTGAGACAACACTTTCCTTCGCTTCCTCCGGTCCATGTTTAATGTGGTACACACCATGTCACTAAACAGCACAGTGACTACCTGTTGCCCCGTATTTAGTCCCACTGACTGATTACAGGATTCTAGAAATGTGCGATTCTAATAAGTGGACAAACCTTGATTTGACATGTCCCTTTGGAGGTATTATTTTCAGTGTTTTCTAGGGGTACTGTCATTTCTATCCAGGCCCGTTTCATTGGATTTTTGTTTTTATAATTGTGTTGAAGCAAAGTTGAAAAGCAATGTCTGAGTTTCATTTGTTCATTTTAATAGAATTTATATTTATCCTTAATTTTGTCAGAGTCAAGTAATTTATTTGACCATTGTTGGTTTTCTTTCAATAATTGAGGGTACCAACAATTTTGCACACGTGTGCATAACAAGAAATATAACTGTTAGGGATTTCTTTTTTGTCTGCCTTTTGTCAGATTGTGTTTTAAATTATGCAACTAACAAAATATAAGACACAGCCCAGACTATTATGTACAGTTTGGGAATAATTATATTATCTAAGAAAAAAAAGACAGAAAGCAACATTTTTGTTCTTTGTAGAATGTAGACCAACTTTGAAGTTGGTATTATATAAACTTTGAGCGAATGAGGGCTTCTGTTCTATTCCATTAGTGACATAGACAATGTATTTAGTTTGGTCAACTTTGAACTGTCTTATCACTTACACATGAACCTGTAAAGAACCTATAAATAGACCTGCACAGAGTCCTTTTCGTTGTTGGACCTGAAACAACGAGCTCCAGTACAAAAGCTGTATTTTGAAAAATACATTTTCACGGGCAGCCAAGTAGGTAAACTTTTTCATCTTTGTGAGTATACTTTTGCTAACTTTATGTGATGTATTCTAGTTGATTCGAAGTGAATCAGACTGCTGAACTGAGACATCTGAGCAACAACTGAGTTAATATTTTGCAGCCAGAGTAATAGAGCAGTAAAGACTTTGTTAAAAATTGCAATTCTTAAACATTGTCATGAATCACAAATTATTTTTTATATATTGATTTTTAGTTTTTGAAAGTTCAAATGTAAGTATATGCTAAATTGTGAGATGTTTATGTTTTTGCAGCTTTAGAGAAAAACATGAATTGGATCTGGATTAGTCTAATCTGGTTCTGTCCACTGGTGGTTCATAGTGGGAAAGTGCTGGTGTTCCCGGTTGACGGGAGCCACTGGGTGAACATGAAAGTCATACTTAAAGAGCTGCATTCAAGGGGACACCAGATTGCTGTTGTGCGACAGGTAGACAGCTGGTATATTGAGGAATCCTCTTCCCTCTACACTTCAATTAATGTCAACATTAAGTCTGGATTTGATGAAGACTTCATAACATCATTTGTGACAAAGCTGCTGAAAATCCAGCGAGAGGGAAAGTCTGCCTGGACTCGTTTTAAACTGGAACTGGAACAAGCCCAGTGGATCTCACAGTTTCATGTACAATCTTCCAAAGGTCTTGAGCAATTTTTTGAGACCAAAGGGCTGATAAAGTCACTACAAGAAGGAAACTATGACCTAGTTCTTACAGATCCTGCTTTTCCAACAGGCGTCATACTTGCTCATTACCTCAAACTGCCTCTTGTTTTTAATGCAAGATGGACCAGTCACAATGAAGGCCACTTTGCAATTGCACCTTCTCCTCTCTCTTATATTCCAATGTTTGGCACAGAGTTTTCAGATAAAATGTCCTTTATTGAGAGAGTCTTAAATGTAATGGCATTTGCTTTAAATGAATGCCTCTCTGCATGGACTATTATACCACATTATAAAGCCTTAATTGCAAAGTACTTGGATTCAGATGTAGATTACATATCCATGTTTCAAGCTGCAGACCTGTGGCTCATGAGAGTGGACTTTGTGTTTGAGTTTCCTCGTCCCACCATGCCAAATGTAATCTATATGGGCGGGTTCCAGTGTAAACCTGCAAAGCCTCTGCCTCAACACTTGGAGGAGTTTGTTCAGAGCTCTGGAGAGCATGGAGTCCTCATCATGTCTCTGGGGACTTTAATAGAAGATTTACCACGTGATTTAATTGAAGTGATTGCCAAAGTCTTCGCAAAATTACCTCAGAAAGTCATTTGGAGGTATAAAGGCTCCAGGCCGGACAATCTGGGAAACAACACTTTACTGGTGGACTGGATGCCGCAGAACGACCTTCTAGGACATCCTAAGATTAAGCTGTTTGTGGCCCATGGTGGAACAAATGGTGTTCAGGAGGTTCTTTATCATGGAGTTCCTATATTGGGCATTCCTTTGATTTTTGACCAACTTGATAATCTGTTCAGAATCGAAGTTAGAGGAGCTGGGAAGAATATTCCACTCTCTACTCTGAATGAAGACACTTTCTTGCAGGGTATACAGGAGGTCCTAAGTGAACCCTCCTACAGGTTGAACATGCAGAAACTGTCCAGTCTGCACAGGGATCAACTAATGGGACCACTGGACACAGCAGTTTGGTGGATAGAGTTTGTTATAAGGCACAAGGGTGCTGCTCACTTGAGAACTGAGTCCTTCAGACTTCCCTGGTACTCCTACCACTGTATAGATGTGATGTTGACCTTAGGAGGGGCTGTGCTGGTTAGTTTTGGTATCTTTGTAGTTCTACTAAAATCTATTTGGAATTTATGTCAGAAAAAAAAGAAGAAACAAGAATGATAAGAAGTGCAGTTAAATAATAATCAGACCGAACAAAATACTTTTAAATTTAGAATTACAGAGTTTTAATCATAATGACCTAGATTATGTCATTTTTGTTTTTAATGGAGCGTTGTTTTTTTTCAAATGATTTGAAGAAACCTGGTCTGGTCTGAATAAATTACCTTCTTTTCCTAAACCATCTTAAAATCAGTTTTGTTTTGTTGTTTCTCTTTACCTCATAGGTAGTTTTAAAAGATGAATTTCTATGGAATACCATAGATAATCCCCTTGAATAATAAAAGATTCTTCTTCTTGTACAATATTAAAGGAATAGTACACCCAAAACATGATTAGCCTTCATTTTCTACTCACCTCCATGCTGAACAACACTCTGGAGTACTTTTTTGATATCTCAAATGCATCTGGAGATCTGGGAGACTTCTTGCTGTCTGCTGACATTCAAATAATGGAGGTCTATGGCGCCCGAGACAGAAAGGTCCACAAAAGTCCACAAAAACTTGTCAATATTCCTCCATACTGCTCGTCCAATGTAATCCAAGTGTCCTGAGTGGGTAGCATCCAGAATTTACTCGAAACGAAGTCATTTAGAACGTTTTAGAGCCTAAACAGTAGTGTATAGGATTTCCTAATAGCGCCCCCATGCGCGCTCACGATTCTACGGAAGCCGGCAGACCAAACCAGCGCATTCAGCTCGGCAAAGAACTCATGCTCTTCCTCAACACTGAAGTCCTCAGACATTTTTCTTTCGTTGTTTCTTTCTTTGCACAGGTAAACAGCACATTTCTTCTTCTACGCTTGCATTATCGGCAGACCAGACGCTGAATGCGCACTTCCTTCCGGTTTGGTCTGCCGGCTTCCGTAGAATCGTGAGCGCGCATGGGGGCGCTATTAGGAAATCCTATACACTACTGTTTATGCTCTAAAAACATTCTAAATGACTTCGTTTCGAGTAAATTCTGGATGCTACCCACTCAGGACACTTGGATTACATTGGACGAGCAGTATGGAGGAATATTGACACGTTTTTGTGGACTTTTATGGACCTTTCTGTCTCGGGCGCCATGGACCTCCATTATTTGAATGTCAGCAGACAGCAAGAAGCCTCCCAGATCTCCAGATGCATTTGAGATATCAAAAAAGTACTCCAGAGTGTTGTTCAGCATGGAGGTGAGTAGAAAATGAAGGCTAATCATGTTTTGGGTGTACTATTCCTTTAAGAATTAGCAGGGCATTGTAGACAAAAATATTCACACACCCAAAAAAAAGCAACACAAATACTTTATCATAAAGAAAATGTTTATTTCTTTTGTCCTTTACTCAGGACTTTTTTATTCACTCTGAAAGGTGCACCAGCAAGTTTCAGGGACAGTGCACACAGTATTGTCAGTAAAAAAAAAAAAAACTTGATGAGAAAAACTTTAAGTAACTAAAATGACTTTTAGCTCATGATAAATCATCAACTGTCAACAAAATATTCTGCAAGAGTGAAGAACAATAGGTTGAGACACAACATGCTGTAAATATTTGCTTTTTCCTAAAAAAAATTCTAATGGTGGGGTTAGGGTTAATCAACCAAAAAGGAATAAAATCCCTCATTGAAACTCTGAAATAAATTTTTGGCTCTAACAAAAAACCTCTGCAGTGTCAGAAAGTGAAGGCAACACAAAGCATAAAGACAACAACTTCTGCAAAATCATGCAGAAAGTCTCAATGTTGCATGAAAAATAGACATGAAAATGGCCTTCTCTGAATTTAAGGAAGTAATCTGCTTGTGGTATCTGCTGAAAACAAGGAAATACAGAATAAAATGCTTTAAAAAGACACTTTAGTTGCCTTTTTTTTCCTTGAAGCTACACTTTTTATAGAGTATTATTTGGGTAAGAGAACATTTAGGCTAATTTTTTATGTAATTCCTAAAATAATTCTGATATTTCATTTATTTATTTATTTTTTATCAGTCTGGTAAGTTTTAGACCCTCCTACAGTTAAGAGATGCAAAGCAGCCGACATGGGGAGGATGTTGGTTTGTCAAATGTCTCGTAAAATGCAAATTAAAGCCTTCTTGTTTTGAGCCAAACAAGCCTTAATAGATACTGAAGATCTCTGAGCTGTAAAAGTCAACCAGATAAACAAATTAAGCAATCCATCATTTTCAATAATCTACTTTGTTTTGTTTTTTTGCTTCACGTCTCAAGACTCATTCAATCCGTTGATTATTCTGCTTCGCTTTAATGTAAAAAATGTAATGTTCTACTGTTGCAGAACAATTAAAAAAGGGGAATGTCATCTTAGATGTACAGGCAGGATAGCAGCGTTAGCTCCATGGAGGGAAGGGAAACGGGAAAAGAAAAGGAAGGGATAGTTAGTAGGTTTATTGGCCATCATTTCCAGAGACCTCATATTTTTTTTGAATGCACAAATAATGAAAAAAATAAGTAAATATCATTTTATATTGTCTATTTTGGGTATATCTTATGCTAAAGATTAGCATGCTAATATGTCATGACACTATAACATCTTAAACATGGTCATTTTCAATCCACAACAGTAATTTCCATTATTATACATATTCATATATAATATAATATTTATGTGATTTCATTATAACCACTATCAGTTAATGTTTCTATACACTTTGACAAAGTAGGAACAAATATAAACATTTCCAAAAATACGTTGGATTTTCTGAAAAATGACCCAGTTTGACTGTAGTTTAATCGCACATATATAGCTACATACAGTTTAGAAAAAAAAGCTTGATCAATATTCAATTTTAAAAAACAAAAATATGTGCAGCATTTATAAAATTTTATAAAAACTGTCAGTTATTGTGTTTGTTATCCTAAGATGGGGAATGATCTGCCATTTCACATAAAAAATAATAATTTGTTCTCCTTTTGTTTCTACAACTAACCTAAATGATCTCTAAACATAAAAACAACAACAAAACCAAAACAACAATAAAACTTTTTGTATTTGGGCAGGTATACAGTGAGGCTTTTCTTCATGAATGCAACTTCTTTCCCACAGTTTCTGGAATTTATAATATAAATTTTTATTGCGGAAGGTATTTATACTTCTTTGGATTTTTCCCCAAGTATTTAAGATTTTACAACTTTAACATCAGTATATTATATAATGTTTTTTCTATTCATTTATATCAGCACTAAATACAAAATAAATGGAAACAGTGAAAATGGAAAGTTATTCATTTGTATTTAACCTCAACCACTATAGTACCGCTAAATGGAATCCAGTAAAGTGGTTGCCTTCTGCTTAAATAATTAAGTAAATGTGATGTACTTTTGTGTAACTTGATTTTAGTATAGATACAGCTCTTCTTTGAAGATACTTTGTTAGAGATCATCAATCTTTAGGAAGACCAAGGATTATGGTCTGTCATCAGAGGTACACACACAGAGATAGTATGGCTTAAAACCAAAGGTGTCAAGTAACAAAGTACAAATACTTTGTTTCCTTACTTAAATTAAAATGTTTGCTTTCTATTCTTTACTGGAGGAATTATTATTTTCTATGTTCTCCTCATAACATTTTAAAAATAGACTCTTTAGAATTGTTTCATTTAATCTCATATTCGTTATGGACTGTTAAAAAAATATAAACCATCAAAATGATTTGTCTCACCAAGACCATTAATATATTTGTGGTTCGACTCGGTACTGCAGCAACTTTTTGTTTGCCACATACCAAAATAGATTGTTTTTCAAGATGATGCAATGTTAAATTTGCCTCTGTTACCATTAATTATAAAACTAAGAAAATTAAGTATAAGGAAGTTATCATCTAGAATTGTAGAACAATTCCCTGCATGACTTTTACTTTTATACTTAAAGGGGTTTTAAAATGTTTACTTTTTAAACTTTTACTTGAGTAAGAAAATTCAACTAAAAGGTTTTTAAAAAGTAAGATTTCTAGTGCTATTTGAGTAATAAACATAAATTCTTTTTACACCCCTGTTTAAAACAAACCTTACCGAGATACGATCATATGGAGTAAAATGTTCTGATCAGATGGAATAAGAACTCACCTTTTTTAATATATCGTTCTCATAGCCAATCACAGAGGTAACTGAACCCTTTTAATTGATTCCTTTCTTCAGCAAGGACAGAGCTAAAGGATGGATATTAAAGATATGTCTAGATATTCAAAGATCATGGAGGATGAGTACAAAAAAAACTAGCAATTTTTTCACATCTTTAATTATATTACTTTCCTTCTACTTTTTAACATTTGTGCTTTTAACCTGACCAAACAGCTGGGTGGAAATACTTTTTTCATGTGCAATTGTCAAACAGAGCTATTTGGTCTCATTTCGATTACAGCAAAAAAAAAAAAAAAAAAAAAAAAAAAAAAAAAATTCCAGAATTTCCCCATTGTGGGAAAATAAAGAGATTTTCTATTCTATTGTACAGCAAAAAAAAAATAAATAAATAAAACAAAAAAAAAATTATATATATAAAGAAAAGAGAAGCACCAAACATATCAATCCACAGCTTGATTTAAAAGGAGGGTCCTGCACTGATGAAACAGGAAGGGAAACCTCGGGGAAGGATATTTGATTATTCTTATTCCTGGTTAATAAAAAAAAAAATCCCCAAAGATTATCTTTGAAAATAATTATATATCCTCAATGATCATCAAACACACTGTTTATCTATAATTATGTTTTGCATTTTTCTGAAACAAAGAAAATAAGTCCAGTTGCCAAAAGTTGAAGTACATATAATGACTACGACCTGGATGATGGAGAATTTTCAGACAAAAAAAAAATTATTGAAATGTCCCAAACTATCGGGATGGGGGATCCTTTTTTCTTGGTATTTACAGTGTCCATCAAGGAGAGGTTAAGTCTGCTCAGGATGCTCTGGTCCTTAGTGAGCTCATCCTGAGCACAGTGAGCTCGGCTACATCTGTATCCTGCATGTCCACCTCCTGTTTGCAGCTTTCTCTGATTACATACACAACCAGACCCACACAGATGAAAATGAGGAGGATTATTCCTATTACCTAGAAAGAGACAAGTAGGATTAGCCAACAAACACACAAATGAAGCTGCATGAAGAGCTTTCATTATGTTATGATGACAGACATGTCTAACATAGTAATTACTTTGGAACCAAAAAAAATGTCCCTCCACTCTCAACACAACGTCAACAATCTGTGCATATTCAACTCACCTGAGAAAACACAAACAGCCGCTGTGAGCGGAGCATTAATTCCTGTGTGGTGACATCTCCCTCTCTAATTGGTTCACACCATTTCTGTGGAGCTGCCTTGTCCACAAGCACAAATCTTCCCTCCCAGTCTGTCATAGCGCAGGCAAAGTACTGGCCATCCAGGAACAACAAAATCAGCCAAATGACGGCGGGAACAAAACTGGAGAGGGAAACCATTTCCCTGCACCAGGCGCTGCACCTGCATCCTTGGACAATTTGCATCAAGGTGAAGGCCATGACAGCAGGAATGATGAAGAATGCTGAAGAAAAAGCTCCATTCCACGTAGGGTTGCAAGGGCACTCAAACTCCAGCTCCACGAGCTTCTCTAGTCCCATGAGGATGAACCCAAAAGCCACATTTGATACCAGAGGGCTGTTGCTAAGTTCATTTTTCAGCCTGCTAAGCCATTGTTGTCTGCTTTCCATACTAAACTGACTGAAGAATGAAGTCAACCGCTCCAAAAGCCCAAAAGATAGTCCTCCGTTGTGAACACATTGGCAGTCTTAGTGATGCGTAATTAATCTATCTAGGGGTAAGTTTTACCCTGAGGCAAAATGCCACACTTCCACTCTGATTGGCTTTGAACAAAGGAGGGTGTGCCGTGTGCTCTGACCTTTCTCTAGCTCATTGGTCTCTGTGAGATTTCAGGTGGGGTTACATTTTAAATATGGTCTTCCGTAGATAAGGGAGGAAGGGCTGTAAAGTGGAGGGAAGTTTGTTCTGTTGTGGCATAAACAAATGTTCTTTTAAACAGTTGTGCAAATAATCATGCCAGAAATGTACTTATTAACCTAGAAGCAAACTATAGGCTAAGGAAATCAAAATACAGCCTAAATGAAAAAAGGAAAAATGAAAAGAATGAATAACAATGTTAATAAAGACTTTTCCTTGACAGCAAACTAGAGCCAGAGTCACGTTTCATGTTTGAGTGCACAAACTTTGTTGTTAAAGGGGATGCTGAAATGTTTTCTAAAGAAAAAAAGTTTTTAATATTAGAATTCCAACAGATTGTCAAAATAAAAATTTTCAGACATACATGGCATCAATTATTTTTTTTCTTCTGTCCTTTTAAGCCCATTTGAATATTTAAAATAATAGTTAGCTATGAAATTATATATATTATTATATATTAGGTATACTAAGTGATGTCAGCCTTTCTGGATGGATGGATGGATGGATGGATGGATGGATGGATGGATGGATGGATGGATGGATGGATGGATGGATGGATGGATGGATGGATGGATGGATGGATTCTTTCATTCCTATACTCATCATCTCTTGTATACTTCTGTTTTGTTTCTAAATGTTCATGACTCATTTTAAGCATAGTCAAATTAAGTCTAAAAAGATATTCCAATTATTGCATTTTCTCTTGAGTGTCTAGGCTTTTAACATGAAAAATAGCAAATATCAAACTAATTACTGTAAAATACAGACCTAGACAAATAAATGGAGTCACTGGCCCTCAACAATATAATTCATTGTCTGTGGCTCTAAATAAAACAAGCACTTGTTCTGCACACCTAGAATATTTAGGAAGACTTTATGAACCTGCAGATGTATGTGTGGACATGTGGTTGCATGTGAAAAAGAATGAGGTGTAAAATTTGGTGATAAGTCTTTGGAGCTTCCATTTTTTGTTATAAAATTGCTGTGTTGACCTTCATCTGAAAAGCAAGGGTTAGTTGGAGCTTTGCCATTGGATCTTACCAAAGTCATGCCCTTTGTCTGCTTATTGCCAGCAGATCTTTTGACTTACTGTATCTGACTCTACTTCACATGAATGGATGGAATGAGGAATAACAAGAAATGTTTAAATCTTTTTATCTTTTCTTAAAAATGTCTAAAAATATATATTGTAATTTAATTATATACTTTTTTAGACTCGACAGGTAGGGAATCCGTTACACGTTAAAATTACACATTATAAATAAATCAAGTGTTAAAATACTGCCGGTCTATTCAATTAAATAATTTAGAAGATAGATCATTACACAAGAGACGGCTGTTAGAGATTTACACTAACTGGCCGCATGAGGGCGCAGGTGTAGCAGAACGGAATAGGGATTGAAGAGGATTACAGGAGGCCATGTTCATTTTAAGAAGGAATGCAAAATGTATATGTTGAAAACATGCAAGTGATGATATAATTCACAAAAGATCCTCTTGGAGAGCTCCAGATTATCATCATAATCTCGTTGCGAGGAAATCCGAATCGTGTGTTTGAGTAAAACTTAGTTAAAATCCCAGCATTCTAAGTATCATTTGCTTTTTTTGAGATAGATTTTGATTTTGCAACGCACTCTACAGTTTATTTTATTTTTTAACTCAAACATCCTTCGGCTATTTGTTCCGTGTTGTTTGAAATACGTATTAAAATGGAAACTAAACAACAAAAAAGTCCCAAAACTGAGAAAAATATCAGCTCCTACCATCTATAAATAAGGGGGGGAAAGACGGAGGCATAAAACTGAGTTCACAAACATCCTTTGCATAGGTGCGCGGCTGCAGTGCGCGCGCCGCTGGTGAGACTCCCTGTTCATCTCCAGTCCTGAGCGCACTGGGCACGCGCGGCTCTCCGTCGCTGCCGTTGGTTCCCTACCAGCATCTGTTCCTCCGTTGGTATTAAAAATAGACCGGTGCTGATAACAGACTTATGTTTCGCCTTCACCACCCGCCGTCGGGAATCGTTTTGCGCGCTACTCTCATCTTAATCACCGAACCGTGACCGGTGGGAGCGCAAATGCGCATCGTTTTGCGCATCTCTGAATCTTTGGAACCTCGCCGTGGACAATCCCCCTGACATCCAAAGACATCTTCCCTGCAATCCCAGCAAGGCTTCTTCGATGCCTATGGCCGTAGATAAAGTCGGCTGGCCTCGTCCCGGACCTTTCACCCACGGCTGCCCTCCAAAAGGTCTTTGAATCAAGGAGGCATCTCGGGATTTTTTTTTTTTTTTTTTTTGGATCTCCTCATCAGACTGTTTTTGAAGAACCCGGTGATATGCTGGGCCCATCTCTCTAAATCTCGTGATCAATAGCCTGCACCATCTCTCCTCCCACATTCGTCTGACAGAGACCCTCACCGAGCCCTAATGATGCATCCGAACGCGTTGATGCTGGCGGTGGTCCTTCTGCGCAACTTGATGCTGCCCTTCTGCTCGGCTCAAAACGGTAAGGACACAGTTTTGACCCTGGGAGGAATGTTCAGACACACAGGGAAAGTGATTTCTCCTGCCTTGAGGACGCCCGAGTAAAATGTTCTAAAGAGGATTTGATTTCGACGGCGTTAAGCCTCCAATTTAACGCTCCTCCACAACAAGGCCAGTTACTACGCTTGATTTGTGTGACTGACTAATCAAAGTTCAGGAGAAATTAGAAGAGGTGTGACAGTTTTCTTTTCTCCCTATATTTTTTGATCAGAGTTGAAATGTTAGAAAATAGAAAAAAACATGGTGAAGATGGATGGGAACAAGTTTTTAAGCTGTGCACCTGTGTTATTTCCCAATACCAGTCACATATATTAATACTATTAACCCTAAACCTGCATGAGCACAAACTACTGCATAACTACAAAGCAAAATTGTATATGATTTTAATTTGTAAAGATAAAAATATAAAAGCATAAGCTTTGTATATTTCTGTTACTTAGATTGCAAAGAGGCGTGGGTGGGATTAAAATAAGAAGTATGATAATAAGCTATGAGGAATAAGCTTACAGATAAATAGAGTCCACCGGTGTTAAATGTAAATTATATAAAATAAAAATTCTTCTCAGACAGCTTCAGAAATTTGTTAAAGAACATTAGTAAAAAACAGCATAAGCAGGATGGGGAACACTGAAGCTTAAATCTAAAAAAACTAAGAAATGTAAAGAATATTGCTATTTCAATTTCAATTCAGTTTATTTATATAGCGCCAATTCACAACAGGTCATCTCAAGGCACTTTAAAGTTCAACCAGATCATAAAGTCAAATAGATTCAAAGTTTTGTATCTAAGGAAAACCAGTTGATTGCATTGACCCATTGACTCCAATGCAATCCCTCACACTAAGCATGCTTGTAGTGACAGTGGAGAGGAAAACTCCCTTTTAACAGGAAGAAACCTCCAGCAGAACCAGGCTCAGTGTGAGCGGCCATCTGCCGAGGCCCATTGGGGTTCAAGGAGACAGAAGCAGAGATACAAAAAGCAACTGCTGCCCTCTGGAAAGAGGTTCCGCAGCATCCGCTGCAGATCCACCAGGTTGTGCAACAGCTTCTTCCCCACTGCCATCAGACTGTTGAACCTTTGATCCACAATCCGAACTCTGCACCTATTGCACATTATCGGGCATCAAATGCTGCTGAACTTTTAACTTTTAGCCCTTTAAATTGTTCATCTCATTGTATTTTTCAATAACGCATTTTTTGCACAAATGCCATTTTGCACTGAACCACTGCAACTTGCACACTGTCTCTTATCCTCTGCACTGTTCACACTTTGACCACTGCTGCACTTTTTGTATTTTTCTATAACTCGTGCCATTTGAAATATCAATGCAACGTTCATAAGCTGTATGTAACGCAATTTCGTTCTGTATGCACCCTGTGCATACAAAATGACAAATAAAGAAGTCTAAGTCTAAGTCTAAGTCTAACTGTAAGAGGCGGCCCCTTCCAGGAAACACACAGCCAGGCAGACTGGTAAGATTGCACTGTTGCAATCTTATCAAGATTCAACCATAATAACTCTACAAATCTGTCCACTGTGGGAAAGGTGCAACATGAAAGCCTGTGTAGAAGTTTGTCACAAGTCTTCTTACACAGCTGCTTCTGTATTTTAGATTAAACGTTTTTTTCATAGTCACCATGGTAGGACACGGTGGTGGCAGCATGATGCAGAGAAGATTTTTTTTTCTTTTGCATGGACAGAAGATGATAATAAGTGGGAGGATAGAAGGAGGTGATTAAAAAAGATAATATTACTGGTCCCAGATGTTCTTCAACCATTCTAATGAGACGGGGCTAGTTCACGGAAGAAATGCCAGCCTCTGGTAGAGATGTAACTGGAAAGATATGGAGCCGGAATATTATTTGAAATTAGTTTTACTAAGCATTGACCCAGAGGGAGTAGAAGGCTTATGCACATTCACACCAGACTTTTTAGATTTAAATTAGCACAAAAAACAAACAATTTTAAGAAACATGTAACTTTTTCCCCCACTTTCAATTACAGGTATTACTTGTGATCCCAATATTATTAATTAGTGATCATGCTTTTCATATTTGAATATAAGCTATTTAAAATAGTTATTTGAACTTTGTAACTTTTGTTTTATTATATGTGGCAAACATGATTGTTTTTTGTTCACAATAGTTTATATAGGATAGTGTTGGGAGAATAACCTGTTTGAGAGGGTGAATAACCGAGGCAGTAATTTGTCTTATTTGCTCTGCGTGGACCTTCCTCGTCCGGCTAGTGCATATAAAAGTCACAGCATTTCACTCACTTCTTTAGAGTGTCTAATTTTTCTTTTCTTACAAGTTTAGGAAACAGGGGTTTTGAAACTTGCCAGAGAGTGTCCCTAGAGTGGCTGCTTATGATCACCAGAAGTTCCCTGTGCATTAATCATAGCAAAGCATGGGAGATTTGACATGACAAAATATCAGCAACATGCTGTTGGGTATTCCAGACTGTCCTTCTCTGATACAGCATGTCCTTACTTAGAATTCTGTTGAATCACACCACCCTCTGGGCCATGCACACCAATCAGCAGCCATTCATGAAATCAAAGTGGACTGCTCAGAATTGTTGCTACGTTTAAAAAGTTTTAATTGCAACACCTCACGAGGGAATCAAAACGTCACAGGACAGATTTTGATGACAGGTTTAAGGAGATTTGGGTATTTAATTTGCAAGTATTCTTTCATTCTAACTGATGCACTACTGCTTTAATTTAAA